CCGGCGCAGTGCAGGAAGCTCTCGCGCCAGCCCTCCTCCCAACGCACCTCGGAGCCCTCGCTCCACGCGAGAATACTGACAGCGGTTTCGGCGTCGTTGCGCACGTCGTCGATCCCCCGTGCCGAGAGGTAATTGAGGATGGTGCCCACATTGTCGGCCTCGGGCGGCATGTAGGACTCGAGACGGGAATGCAGATCAGCCAGCGCTTGGTAAAGGGAGAGACCGACGAGCGAGGCGTGGTATAGCAGCGCGAAGACGTTGCGCGTGGTGATGTGGTGGCGAATCTGGTCGAGCTTGGTCATGTTGGATGGCGTCGGGAAGTACATTTCATACGAAATTTGGCCGTCCTGCTCCCACATGCTGTTGTCCTCCGAGATGGGCGGCGTCGGGTTGCCGCCACGCCCGGCATAGCCACTCTGAGGATGCAGATGCTGGCCTCCGTGATGCCGCTGGTGGAGCATGGGCGGCGCCCCGACTGGCGAGGGAGGCATGTGGATGTCTTCCTCGGTAGAACCCTCGCGCAACAAGGTAATGAGATAGCGCGACTCTGTCGCTTCGATGATGTGCGAGGACAGCCGGAAAGAGGGGTTTGGCCGCGGGACTTGGCCCTTGTGGCCGAAGAAGACGAGCACATCGCCGTTGGGATCCCAAAGTTCGGGATCTTTCCGCAGCTTGTTCCATCGCTGCACGGGTCGCCCGGCGCCGATCCAGCGCTTGATCGGGGGCGTGTTGCCTGCCGCGGGGATGGGCGGCAGTTTCGAGGAAGGTGGCGGCGCCACGATGCTTCCGCTGTCATCCCAGGGGCTGGCTTGAGATGATCCAGAGAACACGGGCGAGTTGTCAGCGTCGTACCCATCTTGCAGGTCGCCCGACGAGGAGTAGCTGGCGGGGTTGTGTTGGTTCGGCCGTACCGTTGCCGACGACATGGGCCGGAAGTCGGGCATCCTCTCGGCGTCTGGCGATTTTTTATCCTTGCCCTTGAAGGTGAAGGCTTTGGCGATACCCTTGCGCACACCGTCGCTCTTCTTATCCAGTTTGCTGCGAAAGCCCGACTTCTCAATCCCGGATACGTCCTCCGTTTTGATGGCCGGCCTCCTCGCGCGGGCGTAGGCAAAGTCTTCCAGGGGGCGGCTGTGAGCGTGCGTCGACGGGCCGCCGGTTTCCCGTCTCCCATCGATGCTCGACCCGCCACTTTGGCTGCCGCCGCTATGATGGCCATAGCTGGAGATGTCGTTTTGGTAGTTCAGCACCTCGCTCTCCCGCGCCGGCTCCGAGAATTTGAGAAAGCGGGCGTTTGTCGTTCCAACGCCGGTGATATCCCGGTGTCTGCCCCCATCCCTGCTGCCGTCATGACGCGACGGCATGTGATCGATGGGATACTCGCTGATGGTGGCATTGTCGGAGCTGGCGCTGGACTTGGCCCTGCTGCGCACGCCGGCCGCCCTGTCCCCTTCCTTGGTTTGGGTGATCTTCTTGCGCACATATGCGCTGCGACCCGACATGTTTCCTTCTCCTGCTGCTGCGATGCCGGATGAATGCCTTGTCTTCGCTGCGTCCTCGGAAAGAGCGGTGCGAGTTGGGCTCGCAGGATGTTTGTAATAATGGTCCCAGGTTAGATCGCCGGCGCGATGCTACAAAAAAAGATCAATCTAGATTCCACGATAGCGATTGTCCTCTTGGCCTCCGTCTGTGTCTACTACGACGTGGGGGCGGCTCGGCGCATTAATCTGGAGGGGCGGCGTTGTTGCGGTGCTGGGAGCAGTGGCGATCGCCAGCACGGATCCTGCGCGGTCGGCCCGTTGTTCTCCTTTTTCCTGGAGGCGATAGATGCTGCGATGCGCGGATGGCGTTTTACTGCGGAAGCCTGACCATGGCGGGCGTCCTTTGGCGGTGTCTCGGGCGTCTGTCGCTTATCTGCGTGTGTGGCGGGTGTAGAGGGAATTTCGCTCACGTCGCACCGAGGTGAGGGCATGTGGTATTCGGAGATGGCCCCGGCCCAGATCGTCCGTCGTTGCGCGAGCGTCACGTTGTTGGGAAGGATTGCAAAGTCGGACTGGTGCAGGGAGAAAACCCAAAGATATTATCACCCTCCCGTCAGAAAGGAAGGGCTGCCAACCCGCTGCTTGCTTTTTCCGTGGCGGCACCGAGTCGCATTATTTACTCGCAGCACCAGGCCGGCAAGGGCGAGACGTCGACCTCCTGTCTGTCCACGGAACGGACCCACGCTGCCTGGGTGCACATGCTGCACGTTTCGAACAAGCCGTTCGCTCGGGTCCAATCTTATCTCCCGGAATCTGCACACAGGATCCGAATTCAGAGCTTGGTCTGGAGCTTACCCTGGCCCTTCCCACATCATGCTTCCTGGCTCCCTTGCTCGCCTGATCCCTCGCCCACCTTTTCTCCCTGGCCGACAGCGTATCGGCCGACGGCGAGTTATCGATTGGAGCGTCCGTTTCTGGGAGTGGAAGGGGGGGTCGCCAAGCAGCCAATCCTTTCGGTTCTCCTTCGAGACGCATCACCGTGCTCGCATCTCACTGGTCCGCCTTCAAGCGTCGGCCAGGCCAACGCCCAGAAGCCAGCGCTCGCATAGCGTTGGGCCGTACGTCTGACTGCGACGTCGCTGAAGCTCGGTAGTGGCCGTTGCGACGCCGAGCAGCGAGCAAGCGCAAGCGCAAAAGAACGTAGCGGCGGGCGCAACGGTAAACGCGGTGCCAATATGGCGCGGCCACGGCAGCCCTACAACGGGCAAATGGCGACGAGCAGTGTAAAGTGGCCGTCGTACCGTGTGGTGGCCTGAACCCTGTCGCCGGGCCCGTAGCACCACGAGGGAAGGCGGGCAAAAGGTGCGGGCGAAGCGACTGGTAAGGGCTGGTGAGGATGTGGGGTTTCGATGCCGCTGATAAGAGGCCAAGCAAAGCGATGCCGGGATGCAGTCGTGTAATGGGTATTGGCACTGATAGCGTCCACCCCTCCGCAGCACGTCCGGCTGCTGACTTGCGGCAAACTACCTGTCCAGCTAATTAGCCTGCAGCGCTGCTGCGAGGCGTCAGCATTTTGCTCGTTGCGCGCGCAACTGCACGCGTTAATCATCGGCCAGTCTTGTGCCACCCCCCCCCCTTTGCGGAGATGCGGGACGCGACGTTGCGTCGAGCTGCGCTGCAGAAAAATCCCCAGCGCCGTTTCGACCGTGGTGTCCCCGGATGGCGCTGCGCTGCCGTCTCACCGGTGAAGAGAAGCGCCTCGCGGTTCCATCATCATCACCATTGCGATCGCGATGTTGGGAACGGGCGCAACGGTGGACCGGCGGATGGCTGCCGGCGCATGCGCACAGAGCCACGCTTACCACGCTTACCACGCTGCTGCTCTGTGCGTTTGCGCGCAACCACCGGACGCCCTGATGTGGTTGAAACACGCTATAAACACATGTTAGCAATTATCGCGTTTTCTTCACATGGTTTTCGATCTCGTGCACGTCGAAAACGACCGTTTTCCGCGGCCTCGTTGGAGACGGGCTTCTCCGCGCTGGTTCGGGAGAGGAAATAGTTAGCGACTGCCAACCCCGGTAATCCCCGGCGGGCCCCCCACCCAGGGTCTAATGAGGCGCACCGTCCCCCACTGCTGCCACAGGAACTGCAGTGCAACCCGAGCAAGATGAATCGAACATTCGAACAATGCGACGCCGATGCCAAACGTGTCTGAGGCACGTTCTCGTCGAGAAGAACGCGATCTCGATGAGGATGTGTGATGGTCGAGGATATAGGGGTGGAAGTTCGGTTTGAAGACTGGAGATCGATGTTTACCCTCTGTGCGGGGCATCCCGCCGCGGAATCGACGTTGGCACGCAGATGCGCCCCTGCAGCAGATATTGATAGGAGCGCATAAGCCCACTCACCACAACGAGGGAAGGTGCAGGCTTGTTTCTTCAAGACCTCCTCGCGGCACTTCCGCTGCTGCGTTGCAATCTTGGACGACCGATGCCCAGGTTCAGAGGCCAGGAACGCGCACGTTTCGCTCGATTTCATCAATCTGAACCACGCATCGTAAGCAGTTGTCTTCTCGCCAAATTGCTGACAACTCAGATCAGATGCGTGATGATGCACCAAACCCGTCGCATCACACCCAACCATGGACCTTATACCGCAAACTATGCAATGCCTCGCCATGTCAACACAGGGCCTCCGGCACCAGCCAGGAGCCCCTCCACACGGACCCATCCATTCCACAGGGTTGGAACAAGCTCAGAGCCCCTCGTGCCCCTCCATTGCACAAACTGGAAGGGTTTGCACAAGCCTGTCTGTGCTCCTCGCCCCTTGCTTAGCTCCCTGTTTGCGCGCAGATCAACTTCTGCTCCTTGCAGCATGTTCGCGTCCTGTTCGTACAGCCGCGTGACCATCCCCGCAACCTCAATCCACGACAAACGCCAGCGACATTTCAGGCGATCGTACCGACGGCCACCCGCCGGTTCAGAGGAACCTTGTCGCATTCAGGGCAAAGATCGGCGCCCTGTACAACGCTGCAACAATCGGCTTCCTGGAGTTCTTACCCTTACGCTGACGTGAGACGGTCCTGGGAATCACCGTTTGTGAAAGCGGGTACGCGCCGCCCGCCGTCGTTCGGGAGCCGTTCCCGGCCCCAGCCCACAGCCCGCAGCCCCCCTGAGATGCGCATTAGATCGTCGCTCTCCCAAAAATCTCCCATCGCACGGTGCAACAGGCGCGATTTCAGACTCGGTCGACAAAAGCTCATACAAGAAGGATGTGACTCGGACGTGAAGCAAGACAACACATCAAGCCTCCAATCCCTCGTTTGCAGTCACATTCGCAAGCGCAGCAGTCGGCTTCTGCTCCTCTAGCCGCCAAGGCCATCACCCATCCTTCTGTCAATTCCTGTTTCAAGACCCATTGTTTGCTCGCTTCTAGGTGGACCGACACTCGGACTCAACTTGCGCCCTGAAGAGGCAATGCCAGAGAGTGCGAATCCGCAAGCAAACCACTCGGCACGGTTGTATAGTGTAGCGGTTATCACATCGGATTCTGATTCAGCACCAGCTTGGTCTTTCCGGTAACCCCGGTTCGATTCCGGGTACGACCTATTTTGGGCTCATGCGTGAAACCCCTTTTCGAATCGCGTTGCTCTTTTTTTCTTTCCGAATGCGATCCCTGGTGGAACGTGAGATCCACCGAGGCTCCAGTCTTCAGGGGTCAGCGATGGACGTATTGGGACGGGCCACCCGCTCCGGACAGTTTTTGCGAGTGACGATGTTTGCAAGGACAAACCCGGGGGTGGCGCTACACCGATCGGGAGTAGTGGCCGCTGGTGGGCGAGACACCCGGGAGTGGCGCCGAGGCATCTCGGCATCTCGGTCCGGGCCGGAGGCTTGCGAGGTGTGGGTCTGGTGATGGCCGAGCTTGGTAGGTGATGTAAGAAACAAGTTGACATGCTTCCGTAGGTCCTCGCAAGGAAACACCCATTGCATTCCCAGTACGCCTTGTTTTTAAGGTAGAGGGCATAGAAAGTCCCTCCGAATGCATTCTTGCATATCAGCAACGCCTGGATCATAGGGGGTCAAACTGATTTCTCCCATCGCATGGTTGGCTGAGTCAGTCATACATGCCTGGAGAAACCGGGCACGCACCCTTATTTGCCCTTTTGGTCTATTCTGCAACGCTGGTTGCATGCTTTGATCAGAATTTACCTATCCTGCTGGGGAGCATCACGTTGTAAATGTCAATTTCCCATGCCTCCTCCACTGCCCTCCTCGCCCACTTCTTCAGTCTCGCCTGCCCATCTTCGCCCGACATCCTCGGTTGGACCCATCGTCCGGTCGGTCCTCTCATCCGAGTTAGCCATTCTGTGGTATGTCTTGTCTTACCCTCCTCTATTCATAAACGGGTGAGGTGGAAGAACTGGTAGGTATGGAGGATGTCGGAGGGACAGTGATTTTGAGGAAGGGATTGTCGGATTTAGGTCAGTGGGTAGGGCAAGGCAGGAAAGGAGATCCTAAAAATGGTAGAAGGGCCCTTGGCGTATGGGTGAGTTTTGAAGTTGAGAAGACAGGAGAGAGAAGGTGTGCCGGAGAAATGGCAGTGGTTAGACCAAGCGAACCGTCTTGATCTCGGCGTTGGACAAGGCGGCCTGCAGTGGCCTTGATGGTAGTACAGATGGGTTCGGAACGAAAGCCTCTGTGATGAATCCCACGCGTCTGTATGTTTTGCCCAGCTCGTCGACGGGCTCCAATACCAGAGCCGCGCCTTCAAAGCCATTGTCGCCGGGGAAGAGAAGAGGGTTTTAAAGTGTGGCTAAGGAGGATACCTTCAGGGCACTCGTGTTGTCCCAGCCGACATACCTGATCTTGACATTCTTAGCACCCCCTTCCGAGATTAGGAAGAGCCACCAAAGCTTAAACAACCGTTTCGGTGATTCGAGTTCTCCGAACGTCTTGAGAAGCAGGGCCCCTGGAGGGAGGAGCTTCCTAGATACGTCGATGTAGCTTCCTTCCTTCACCGCGCTGAATAGATCATGTCCTGAGGCTCCAGGCAAGCTCCTACCAGCGACAAGCGATCGGCCACGTCATATCGGTTTGTGAAATTCCAATAAAGAGAAACCCGGTTGCGTGCGGCCCACGACCAGGAGGAGCGATATAATCGATGGGTTCCTCGTGTGCATCTGTGTCCGCCGTTATCCATGTCAGGGTGCTCGGGAAGTGTGACATCCAAACGCCAGCCAAATACTGCTCGCCAGTCAACTCTTGGACTCTGGAGGCCACACCAGAAAGTGCGGCTAGTCTGTCAGTCCTCCTTGTCAAGGCCCTGTTCAAGTAGTCGTCTAGAATGACAAGCCATTGGGGACGCCAGTGGGGGAGTGTGTGAATGCGGCGAAATTTTTTTTTTTTAATTTTAATTTTAATTTTATTATTTTTACAAATGAAGCCTTTGCCGACGGACGTTCTGCAAAACTCTGCATCCGATTCGTTGCTATCGGGAAATAGGCCGTGTCCGTACGAGCGAAAAGCCAGCATCCCATCAGGGTCTTGTAGACATCAAAGTGGAGAACACGCCCGGAAAGCAGCATCTCTTGCAGCATCCAGGCTCGCCTGAAAATGGGAGCCTTGTGATGCTTCTGAAAACGGAAATGTGGCTGATAACGATCGCTCTCTTCAAGTTCGTTTTGTCCGTATGCAAATAGAGATATTCGGTTTCCCCTTGGAAGCTGTGTCTCCACTCTTCCCTGTGGCTTGCGTTCATGTTTGCGTAGAAAACCAGACTCGCAGTCACTAGCCGCATCGGCGGCCAAGGAAACGAAGGATCCAACATAGATATGGGCCATCTGTGCGCATTGCGTTGCCCAGTCGCTTTCGGAGTCTTGAATAATATAGAGGGAGTCGATCCAAAGGTATCTCAAGCCCAGAGCCTTTGTGGCCGTTACCGCGTCCTGGAGCGTTGTCGGTAGCTGATGGAACGAAATTCCGGACTAGAGTTCAGTGCAATTGGCTTCTGTCGACTTCAGCGGCTGTGACCGACCCTAACAGTAACTCAGAGTGGCATAGTGACCCCGGACGGCAGAATCGTCTGTGGTAACGAGTAGGCGAATGTTAACGAAGCTAGGGTCGCCGACATCGAGAACGCGCAGAGGCAGGGATTGACTTGGTTTGGGGTAGTCGGTGTGCTGGGCGACAAAATCTTCCAGCCAGGACTTGGGCAGCTCGAAGCCTGGTGGACGGTTGATCCGCACCAAGCAAACCGCCCGTCCTGGCAAAAGCGTCCCCTGTTGCGCCACTGCGTCAGGACCTGAGCGTGGAATTCTGGCTCTGAGCAGAGCGTTACGTACCGGTAGGTGTGGATAACCCGACAGTGACCTGGGGAACAAAGGTGCTCGGATGAGGCATGGAGTGGCGCCAGACGAGTTTCAAACTGGTGATGCCCTGGCAGAACGGAGCATAGGCTTCGTTTCCCCATAAACAGGAAGTGGCTTCCAACCTCACGGCGAAAGGGTCCACCCGCCGCCGCTCTGCCTCGGTCTGCTGGCGTTCAAGCTCAGCGGGGATCAAGGGCTCCCCGCCGTCGCCAAACATGGAATGTTCCGACTGCAGGATTGCGTCTCGGAACAGAGCGCAAACTTGACAGCCGCCCTCTGCCGATTTGTTCAATTCGGCGAAGTTGGCATGGTGTCGAGCTCTCAAGTCGCGAAGGGTGTCAAGTTGGGCAGAGTCATCTCGATGGCCGGTACGGAACCCAAATGCCTCAGGGAGAGCAGCACACTTGGAGCATGCGCCCCCCATTTTGGGTGTGATTCGTTAGCGATGGGAGCTTGGGAGCTGACGAAGTTGAGCTGAGGGACTTGGGTATGGAACTGGTGGAAGGTGCCTTCCAATCGGCTGGCCATGGCTGCTTTTCACGCATCAAGGTCGGCCCGCTGCCGACTTTTCGTGAAAATGCACGCCCAATCATTGCCGTCCTGAATTGGCCCTCACTCCAGACAACGATCCAGCCCATCACGACAATCGCCAAGGCGCAACTCAATTCTATCGGGACGAGCCGATCTCCGGCGCGGCAATGCTTGCCTATTCCGGCGACAGCCATGGCAAACGGTAATTACGGGCCCCGCACGCATGCGTGCCGTTTCGGCTCCGGCGTAAATATCGTCGGATGGCTGCCAGTTGGTGCTGACGCTCTGGTTACGTCAACTTCTGTGTGAATTTTACGGCTAGCGCCAACAAGCGCGTATTGGGTTTGTCCCGTGGCTCGGACCCATCCGAGATGCATCGGTCATCAAGTGGATACTCACGGCTATGCACGTGAGCATGATGGAGAAGTTTTCACCTCAGGGGTGGCAATTCCTCGGGAATTCCAAAACCTTCGCCGTTTGGAGCTGGGATCAAAAGCCCGCTTCACTTGCCGAGAGTGCTCACAAAGTGAGCCCATCCAGACGCTGTCTCCACCCACGCCCATCGCCAACACCAGTCAAGACACCATCGACTGATTCCCATTGGCTTCTTGGATAGTGATAAATGACGGCACACCAAACCAATGCAGAGGACACCTGCCTAAACAACCACAACCAACGGCCCCTCGAGGGCCATGTGCATCAGAAGCAAGCGCCGCAGGACCCAGACATTTTCGAGAAAGAAGGTTCCCTAACCTCCAAGGAAGCCATCCGAGTTTCGTCCGATCTGGACATCGGCCTCGAGTCAGTCGGACAGTTGCCTGATTGTTCCAACGACAACGATACTGATGGCAACTATGGCCCCGCCGTCGACAGAGTGTTGTCAACCGCCACCACCCTCGACTTCCCCGAAGGCGGAACCGATGGCTGGCTCGTGGTCTTCGGAGCTTGGTGCGGCATGATTTCCGTCTTTGGGCTGATCAACTCTTCAGCTGTGTTTGAGTCCTATTTTTCGACCCATCAACTCGCCGAACACAGTCCGTCCGAGATTGGATGGATTTTCAGCCTCTACTTGTTCCTCGTCTTCTTCGTGGGTATCCAAGTCGGCCCCATCTTCGATCATTATGGAGGCCGCATCCTCGTCGCCGCCGGCAGCGTCCTGATTTGCGCCAGTCTCCTCATCCTGAGCTGGTGTGAGAGTGAGTCCACCCTCTCGACTATCCCTCTCGGCTATCCCTCTCGATACAAACTAACCCCAACAGCCTATTATCAAATCATCCTCACCTACTCCGTTCTAGGCGGTCTCGGCGGCGCACTCCTGAACCCCCCGGCCTACGGCTCCATCGCCCACTTCTTCCACACTCGCAGGGGCCTCGCAACAGGCATCGCCACAACCTCCGGCGGCATCGGCGGCATCGTCTTCCCCCTTCTCCTCAAGAAGCTCCTCCCCACCCTTGGCTTCGCCTGGTCCTGCCGCATCCTCGCTCTGATCAACCTCGCCCTCGCCCTCCCCGCCAACCTCTTCATCAAGACCCGCCTTCCCCGCGCTCCCGGCGGTCTCTCCTCCGTCTGGCCCGACCTCACCATCTTTCGCGACCCTCGATTCGCCTTCTCCTCCCTCGGAATCATCTTCATGGAATGGGGCCTCTTCATCCCCATCACCTTCATCGTCTCCTACGCCGCTGCCCACGGCTCCGTCGCCACGGACG